ATCATTTATTAGTTTGTAAGGATTCACAGATATCAGAATTTTCAAACTGGAAAAGATACTGAAAATATATTTCTTCATTTTGAAGATATGGAAGCAACTCCCTGTGTAATGATTACGATGAGAAGACTGAGATCCATAGACATCGTGATTCCCAAAGCAAATCTGTTAACTAGAAAAAAAAATCTTGATTCTCACTATACTTCCCCAATAAACACCCAACTGGATTGGATCCATTTCTCATTTTATGGCAACTAAGCTAATCAAACCATGTGCATTTTTTTAAACATGGGCCTAATAACTACATGTATATACCTATCAGAACCACATGTTGAGAATTAAATGGCATCTTACCTTTAAGAGGCACCTTGACATCAAGGCCATAGAATAAAGGCAAGAGAGAAGAACAAGAATAGAAACAGAAACTGCAGAAGAAAAAGAAGAAGATTACGTAAATCTGAATTTCTGTAGTGCTATTCAGGTAGTACAAACCTCAGCTTTTCCACATTGTTCATCTGATCGCTTCTCACATAACACCAAATAGCTTTTGTTTCAAAAAAACATACCTTTTACTTGTCTACTGGCAAAGCAACACAATGAATAACTAACTGGTGTTCAGCTAACATCGACTCATACATTTTAGAATTCTGAGAGGGCCTTACAGATAATTGGTGTAAGCCCTTAATTGTATAAGTACAGAAAAAAAGCACAGATCATTTCAGCAATAGACTAATTTCATGCCATAGTTCAGTTTAGAGCATGGACCTCCCAAGTCTTACTCTATTATATGTTATTGTCTCATTTTTAATGCATGGAAGATTATTTCAAAAACACAAAATATGATCAGAGCATATACTTAATCACTCAATGCTGTCATTGATTGGTTAGAGTGTTAGGTTTTAGGACTAAGGCTCATCTGGAAGAATAATAATATGTAGGGTAAACATATGACAAATTAGCCACAGTGGGATACCCCAGAGAGGGAAATGGGATTCTATCAGTAATTACACCAGGGCAACAGGTGTAAACTGGGTCTGTCCTGCACCAGTGGGTTTGTGTGGCCATCCTATTGGTGTGACATCTGCCTATACATCGGTGACACTTTGGATAATGAATATACGATGCGGTTCCAGCCTTCATGCTTCTGAGATAGATCTCACTTTACCTGATCTACAGAAGTTAAATGAAGACTGATTTGTTTATCTTCACCAAGAATCTTCACTAGAGAAGCAGATAGTTGATGGACCAACAGATATTGTGCAGCACTAGTATATAACCAACTCTGTACTAATTATAACAGGTCACAGGTGAGGTCAGTTTTTTCCAATACTGAGTTCTTCAGTGATTTACTCTTACAGAGGCAGTAAGTCTTTGCCTTGTATTCAATCTCTAGGAGCATTCTGTTGCAAGGCTTCCTGTATGGCATGTACAGCATTCTCATATTAGGGGCATCTTATTTGCATATTCCTTTATGTCACTGTTTAGAAGGCTCTTGCTTCACTATGGCAAAATTGTATGAATAAGTTGTAAACATGGTGCTAAGAGCCATGTAGCAGTGACTATTCTATTAGTCTAAAATGCAGAAACAGTCCTTTTTCTTTCACTCCTTGAAGATGAAGAGGGGTATGGTGGCACCTGTCGCAGGAGAGGATGGAAAAGGAGAGGAATGGGAGGCTTCCACTATTCCCAGGAGAAGGTCAGATATCGGCACTACCTCTTGGGCATGAATGAGGAGATGCCCAACCGCTCAGCCTGTAATGAGATTCTTAGTCTACGCAGTGTGGTGGGCAGACCTCTGGTCCTGGTTAGCCATGGAGTGATTATACAATCTTGGGAAAGCTGTTTAATCTCTGGGTTATTGTTTTATTAAGGGGATCATTATTTTCGCTGTGTCTGAATCACAGAATAATTGTGAGAATCAAATGAGCTGATGGAAGTGGAAGTGCTTTGGATATGGTGAAAAGCTGCACATTTTGGGCAATTTTGCTGTTTGCTGTTATCCCCTGATTTATATCAATGGTGTGCATGGGAATTAGGAACAAATAAAGGATATTTTATGTACCTGGAGAAGGTGTTCAAGTATTCCAAAGAAATGAGTGGAGACTATCTCTCACATAAGTGATGTTTAGCATTTTTACTAGGCTTGTAGATGAGTAGAACTGAGGTCAAGTGAATAGAAGAATAGAAGATGCTCATCTCTCATTCAAATTCTAATCAGAAACAAACTAGGTTATTTTTGAAGTGACTTAATTTACTCCTATATGTGGTATATGTTGCTTTGATAACTAAAGAATCCATATTTTCTGTTAAGTATATTATCTCATTATCATAAATGTTTAGGAAGGTCAGATCCATAAAATGAAAAGCTCACATGGAATTCTGAACTAAACATAATCTTAATCTCCTCCTCCCAACATTATGGGGTTTATTAAGAGAATGGCCACCGGGGTAACATTTGTAGATTAAAAAAAAAAAATCCTGTGTTTGTTTTCCTCAGTTGAATGGGAACTGAACTGAACTGAAGTTTCTGGGGGCAGAACGGTCTTAGCTGTGACTTTGTCCTTGAGCCAGCCCCAGGGCTGTTTAAGGATTAGCAGAGAATGACTAGAGCCAAGAACTCGCCATTCAAAAATGTGGAAACTGGAAGATCGCGTGTCCTCTGACAACCAGGGAAG